CCCGCCCACGACCGCGGGCGCCATCAGTTCCAGAACCAGATCATGAGGCTGGAAAACAGCCTGCAGGACAACAAGGCCATCCAGAACCTCCGGTTTAATACGGAGACCAAACTGGTGAGCCGCCGCGGGCGCGCGGGCCGGCCCGGGAGGGCGCCCTGCACCGCGCGGACCCGACCCTGCCACCTCCCCGCCCCGCGCCCCCACCCACCTCCCGGCGCTGCCCCCCACGCCGCCCCGTGTGTGCCCGTCAGCGGGCGGAGGAGATCGCCGCCCTGCGGGAGAGCGTGCTGCGGCTGTGGAGCGAGGAGGGCCCGTGGGCGCTGACGCTGGGCAGCCGCAAGGTGCTCATGTCCCTGGTGCGCCAGCGCTTCTTCGTCAAGGACGCCGCCTCCAGCGCGGTGGCCTCCGTGAACCAGTGGGGCGTCTACCAGGCCGCCAGGTGCGCAGCGGGCCTGGCCCGGGCGGGGCGGGCGGGGCTCCAGGGACGGTCCCCGAGCCGCTCTCTGGCAGGTGGCTGCAGTGGAAGGCCGCGCTCATGAGCCTGGCGCGGAGGCCGCGCGCGCGCCTGGAGAAGCCCCGCGGCCCGGAGCCCGGCACGCGCCTCCCGCCCCTGCCCCTGCCCCAGCAATAAACGACCGAGTCCGTCAGAGCCCTCGGTGACCCCACGTCTCCTGCCTGCGTCCTGGCGACACCTTCCGGCCGCGCCGTGGAGCGCACCAAGGCAAGGGGACCAGAGCCCAATTGCTGGTGGTGATCAAGGCCTTCCCGGCGGCCCAGCCCCAGGGAGCCCGGATGCTGATGGGGTCCGGCACGGGGCAAGCCGAGGAGCCGAGTCCGCTGACCCCCAAAGCCCCCTGGTTATTGCGTGCCCGCGGCCAGGCCACTCCACAGCCGAGGGAGGAGGTGGCGGGAGGGCGGAGCCGGGGCGGGCACTGCCGGCTGGTGGGCGGGGCCTGCGGACCGAAGCGGCGCGGGGAGTGGGCTTTCCGCGCGCCTATCTGGGCCGCGCGGCGCCGGGGCGCCCCCTTCCTGCAGCCCCGAGAAAAACCTGGCGGGCCCCACAGGATGCGTCTGCTGTGGCCGCGGGGCCGGGCCTCGAACCCACGGGGGCCCGAGGTGGGTGGGCAAAGACAGGAGCGGCCTGGTACCGGCCTTCGGTCTCAGCTGCTCGGGATGGCAACGCCGCCAGCCCGGGAGGCGCGCACTTCGCAGACCCCGGCGCCCCAGCCTCCGCAGGGCTCCCTCCCGGTGGGCGGAGCTCCGAGGGGTGGGAGTGGGGGACGCGGGCTCCTGCGAGCCCCAGCGGGGCTCTTCCCTGGGGGCCCAGAGGGGTGTCTGTGTGTCCCCAGTCCACTGGCTAGGCCTCGGCCAGCGGTCCCCCCTCCAGGGCCTGGCCGTCGGGGCCGGCCTCCGCCGTCCAGTTGGCCAGCAGGTCGCTGAAGTCGGGGGTCCCAGGGTGCAGCAGGCCCAGAGGGCTGGGCGCCGGCTCTCTCCAGAAGGACGCGGGCAGCTGCCTCTGGGTCATGGGCGTGATGTGGTCGTACTTGCGCTGCAGGCGCAGGCCGCGCTCCCCGCCCGGGCCCGCGCAGCGGCCCAGGCCGTACTCGAAAAGCTC